CAAAGTGTTCAGGTAATAATAGATGGCCTGGAAGGTACCAGGTTCTGGTGGTGAATGAGACAAATGAATGAGAGGAATGATGGATTCGTTCTGTCATCTTTTAAGGGAAATAAATAGCTACAGTTGTAGACTCATTCTCAGGATTTGTTTCTTGGGCAGTTTATCCTGATCTTGAGAACAGCATTTTAATAGAAGGAATTGTGGTTTTATCAGGAGCATGATAAACTCTCTCAGTTTCCTCAAGTCCTGCTGCAGGGAAAGTGGACTAGAGAGACATAGTCTTGTTACAGAGAGAGTTTGGTGGACTTCTCATAGAGCCACACATCAGCATGTCTCTTCGGAAGGGAATTTCTGTATATGAAAAGTAACTCATTAAGCACTTAGAAGCAGTTACCCAAATATCTGTACCTACATTAGGAAATATAATAACTCTGTTTAAGCAAAGAGGAATCTATTGCTTTTGAAAAGAGACAAAGGATTTCAGAAGCCAGAGGGAAAAGGGAGACAGATGGAGATAAAACAGGGAGATTATTATGCTATTGAGGACAGTAAGGTTTCCCAAAAACAACACATGATTACCTTAGAAAGGTAAAGACTCAGGGCCAGTGCTGTGGCAGAGCAGGTAAAGCTGCCACCTACAGTTCCAGCATCCCACATGGGTGCTAGTTCAAGTCCTATCTGCTGCACTTCTGATCCAGCTCCCTGCTAATATGCCTGGGAAAGCAGCAGAAGATGGTCCAAGTCCTTGGGCCCTGCACCCATGTGGAAGACCCGGAAGAAGCTCCTGGATCCTGGCTTCAGATTTGCCCAGCCCCAGTCACTATGTCCATATGGGGAGGTAAACCAGTAGATGGAAGAAGATGGAAGAGATTCATATTCATTCTCTCTCTCTCTCTCTCTCTCTCTCTCGCCCTCGCCCTCTCTCTCGCCTTCTATCTCTCTCTGTCTCTCTCTCCCTCTCCCTAACTCTGCATTTAAATAAATAAATCTTTTTAAAAAAAAACAAAAGTAAAGTCTCCTATTCTAAGACTGAAATTTTGTCTATAGAATTTCATCTATAAGTTCCTCTATTTTTCTTCAAACCATTCACTACAGTTTCCTGTTCTCATGAGTATATTGGTGAACAGGTCTTCTATACATTAGAGACAGGCAGAAACCAACATTGTTCACATCCCTAGAAAGCAGAATGGGGGGCTGGCACTGTGATGCAACAGGTTAATGCCCTGGCCTGAAGCGCTGGCATCACATATGGGCACCAGTTCAAGACCTGGTTGCCCCACTTCCAATCCAACTCTCTGCTGTGGCCTGGGAAAGCAGTGGAAGATGGTCCAAGGAATTGGGCCCCTTCACCTGCATGGAAGACCTGGAAGAAGCTCTTGGCTCCTGGCTTCGGATCCGCGCAGCTCCGATGGTTGAGGCCAATTCGAGAGTGAACCATCTGATGGAAGACCTCTCCTTCCCTCTCTCTCTCTGTCTCTCTCTCTTTTCCTCTCCCTCTCCCTTTCTCTCTCTCCCTCTCCTCTGTGTAACTCTTTCAAATAAATAAATCTTAAAAAAAAAAAGAAAACAGAAGAGGATATTCAAATGGTAGAATATGTTCCATATACACAGATTATAAAATGTGGGGATTATTACATTAGCCATATACCTCAAGGGCATCTGATAACTATGTTACATAAAAATATATTTAGTGTTTTTAAGACCAGCTATTTACTTTATATACTCTGCTCCCATCTCTAAAAGTTTTCTTTCTTTCTTTTTTTTTTAAAGGCAGAGTTAGACAGTGAGAGAGAGAGACAGAGTGAAAGGTCTTCCTTGCATTCATTCACCCCCCAAATGGCCGCCACAGCCAGCGCTGCGCCGATCTGAAGCCAGGAGCCAGGTGCTTCCTCCTGGTCTCCCATGCGGGTGCAGGGCCCCAGGACTTGGACCATCCTCCACTGCCTTCCCAGGCCACAGCAGAGAGCTGGACTGGAAGAGGAGCAACTGGGACAGAATCCGGCACCCCAACCAGGACTAGAACCCAGTGTGCCACAGGCGGAGGATTAGCCAAGTGAGCCGTGGTGCCAGCCTAGTTTTCTTTCTTTATAAATAAATTTATTGGGAAATATAACAATTTATTTAAAATATTATCATGATCATTATGTAATTATTATTCTTTTAGGTCAGATGCATCTAGTAGTGAAATGGTTATCTCAACTCTCCTTTAATCTATTTAACTTGCTCATTCTTTAAAAGTCGGCACTCAAAGAATAGGGAGGAAAAAAGTACCAAGGATAATCAACCTAAGAAATGCAAGTTTGTAAAATAACACACAAATTTAGGGTTAATACTTTCAGAAATGTATGTTCTGTGTACTCAAGTCCTATGATCTTGATAGGATTTAACAAGAATTGAGGACACTGAGCTGGGTACCTTAACTAACTCTTGAGACCATAAGGGTCTTCCATCATAGACATTCAGTCGAAACTCAGACAATACATATTAGATACAAAGCTGTAATTATTATAGAAAATTGAATTATAATTATCCTAGCACTCACCCATAAAAACACTCCCCAAATATTTCAAAAATTGAAAACAGACTAAGATCTCTATTTAAGCATATCTAAAATCCACCTTGACATGCTAATTTCATTCAAGATAAATTTGCATTTATTCCTTAATCACAGAGCTGAACTAATTCTTTACCAAGAGGAAATAAATTAATTCTGGGCTCCTGAGGAAAGACCCTACTATAACTTTTATTTCTTACAGATAATAAAGTTGAAATCAACTAGGATCAAATACCATTTTACCTGATTGGGAAATTCAACCAGGAAAAATGCATTTCTATCTTTGAAGAATAAATACACAACACACAGGGAGGGAGAGAGAGAGATTTCATATATCTTATCTCTCAAAATAAAGCCAAATATCCTGAAATAATTGAGAGTAGAATCAGGATGCCTTAAGTACAGATGCCTAGAAGGAATAGCTGAGATCTACATAAAGCTATTTTCAAAAAATCTATTATCAAAATGAGCAAAAATAAACTACTAACTCTATGGTTTAACAGAGTGAGCATCTACCATGTTATATGACTTGAAATCTTACTATAAAGTCTTCCAACTTTGAAATGCTTTCTCCATATAAATGAAGGTCTGATTCTGGATTTTCATTATTTAAGATGAATTCACATAAATCCCATATTGTCTTTGGTTAAAGTACCTTGAGAGGGATTTCCACTATCAATAATGAGAACAAATTAGTTGATGAGATCCCTGAGCTAGAAGCAAGGTTGATGGGAGGGTATGGAAGTGTAGTTGGAGGAAAGAATTGAAATCATAGCACCTTCCTGTCAAAGGCAATAAGATATGAAAGAATATTCAACATGGAGGCAAGAGACCAGAGTTGGAGGTCTACTCAATCTGGCATCAGATTTCTTACCTGAAAAAAAAAAATAAGACTAAACATGATTATCTCTAGCCAATTCAAAAATACAATGATTTCTCTGAAGTTAGATAACTCTGGGTAAAAGTCTAGGGTCAGTGACACAGGGCTAGAAAATGGAGAAGCCAAACATCACTTATGGAGGTCATAAAACCCCTGATGGAGAAAAAAAGGGAGGAACTAAAGAAAATATCTCCACAATTGTGATTATACCAAACGATTGACTCAAGGTATGAAAAAGCAGTGGGGGCCAGCATTGTGGCAAAGCAGGTTAAAGCTCCAGCCTGCAGTGCTGGCATCCCATATGGGAGCCATTTCAAGTCCCAGCTGCTCCACTTCCAATCCAGCTCTCTGCTATGGCCTGGGAAAGCAGTGGAGGATGGCCCAAGTCCTTGGGCCCCTGCACCCTCGTGGGAAACCTGGAAGAAGCTCCTGGCTCGCTCACGCTCACGCTCTCTCTCTCTCTCTCTACATCTCTCTGTAACTCTGTCTCTCAAATTAAAAAAGAAAAAAAAGAAAAAGCAGTGGTATCATAGTAATGCCTCAGGTATAAAAGGACCACAAAAAGAAATAGAGAAGAATCCTTGGTTCACATTGTGTTACTGTTTTCCTCAATTTTGGATTTTTAAAAATGGAAAACAAATTACTTTTCCCAAAAAAAATTATTTCTTAAAACTGAAATGATAATTAGCAGTACTGATGGGTTTCCTAGCTGATGAAAAAATGCTGACTTGTATGTTCTCTGTCAGGAGCACTAGAATTAATATGACTACAATAAGGTTCACTACTTCATTCAACAGATTTTTAAAAGGTGTCTACTTTGTGTTTCTACTGGTGATTAGAAGAGATCTTGATGAAAAAGATCTGCTCTTCAGCTTACAATATAGTACAGAATATACGACAAATGCATTAAATACAACAATATGCTGCAACAAGGCTACACAAAGGTTAGGGGCTTGGAAGAACATGGAGAGTTCATGTTTTTATTTTTGTTTTTGAAAGATCATAGAAATCACAGTTTCTTCAGATATTCATTCACACTAGCCAAAGTCCAGAATTTCTGAAAACAAGTTAGACACTTAATAAAGAACAGCAGCTCCTGAACCTTCTGCTTTGCTCCAAAAATGAAGAGCCATTGCACGCAAATTTTCATTTAACTCAACTCTGCGAGAATATTATTGTCAGATGGGGTAGGTAATATTTGTTTTATAACTGACATGAGTAACAAATCATGCTTTCTAAAAGGTCTACAGTCAGTGCTGCTTTGGGTAGAAAATAAAGGAAACCTTCATGTGAGCCCAAATGTCATTCACTTTCAGCAACTTTCTTTGATCCATTTAAGTGTCCTGTTACTAATCTTCTGATGAGGAAATATGCAAAACAAAGAATTTAAAGTAAATGACAGAATCATATTATAGCCAGACACAGATACATTACAGAATACCCAAGACAGTTTTAAAAAGTTTAAAAGAAGAAAAAGGAAAATAAAGAAAAAATTCATTCCTCCTACTCAACATCCTGTAGATCTGCAGATTATAGTGGCCCAGCTCTAGACTCTTGTATTCTTACCTGGTAAGGAACAATACTTCCATGAGCTGTGCCCCAGCGTTTTGCTTCCTTTTGGCTAATAAGGTAATTGGCAGCTACATGGGTCAAACATGCCACCTACAAGGAAAGAAAAAAACAGCTAGTTTATCGTTCTCATTAATAGAGTGTTATAATATGAGAGTGATTTCATTTCAAAGAAAAAAAACTATCCAAACTGGTTAGAAAATAAGCAGACATCTGTACTTTCTTTTTTTAAAAATATTTATTTCATTTATTTGAAAGAAGAGTTACAGAGAGAGGTAGAGACAGAGAGAGAGGTCTTCCATCTGATGGTTCACTCCCCAAATGGCCACAACAGCTGGAGCTGCGCCGATCCGAAGCCAGGAGCCAGGAGCTTCCTCCGGGTCTCCCACACGGGTGCAGGGGCCCAAGGACTTGGGCCATCTTCCACTGCTTTCCCAGGCCATAGCAGAGAGCTGGATTGGAAGAGGAGCAGCCCATATGGGATGCCGGCACTTCAGGCCAGGGGTTTAACCCACTGCGCCATAGCGCCGGCCCCTTGTACTTTCAACATACAAATAAAGAGCTATATTATTGGAGGAGACTAAGTAATGATCAATTGAGAAATATAGACACATAAATATTCAGCTTCTGCAAAGATCATCTGAAGGTAGAGGTTGACCAAGCAGATGGAACTTTGATCCAGCCTTTAACATCAAAGACATAGAAAATATTCCAGCAACTGGTATATGCCTTTCCCCTTTCCACCTATGCCTTTGTACTTTTCATCAAGATGACACAAAAAGACCCAGCCGGCGCCGCGGCTCACTAGGCTAATCCTCCGCCTAGCGGCGCCGGCACACCGGGTTCTAGTCCCGGTCGGGGCGCCGGATTCTGTCCCGGTTGCCCCTCTTCCAGGCCAGCCCTCTGCTGTGGCCCGGGAGTGCAGTGGAGGATGGCCCAGGTGCTTGGGCCCTGCACCCCATGGGAGACCAGGAAAAGCACCTGGCTCCTGGCTCCTGCCATCGGATCAGCGCGGTGCGCTGGCCGCAGCGCGCCTGCCGCGGCGGCCATTGGAGGGTGAACCAACGGCAAAAGGAAGACCTTTCTCTCTGTCTCTCTCTCTCACTGTCCACTCTGCCTGTCAAAAAAATAAAAAAATAAAAAAAAAAATAATAAAAAAAAAAAAAAGATGACACAAAAAGAGTCTCTCATCACTAAGCAGGCGAACCACAGCCAGCTGTACATTGCTCTAAATTTCTCATTATATAAAAAACTAATAATGTAAATCTTCATTTTGTTGAAGTCAATTTAGTCATGTTTTCTGTTACTTGCTGCCCAAACACTCTGACACAGAGGCTCAAGAACATTTGACTTCTTTTATTCTGTAGAGAATTATTCTTACTCAAACAAGTATTAGTGTATCTTTCCAAAAGTGGTCCTCATCCCACACTTCATTATTATACTCACTTCCATTTTTGAGCACCACAAATCTATTAAAGGGATCATCCAAAGCCTTAGGGTCAACTTTTGACTCTTGCAGTGTATTATGGACATATTTTGAAAAACCTACAATAGAACTCCATCTGAGAATAATAACTGGAAGATTGTGACTTGATTCCTGGTGATGTGGGGCACAAAGATCTTAAGTTCTGATGAACACCTTTGTCTACATGGACCCAAAACACCTGAAAGAATGTAACCAAGTAAGTTTCCATAGTATTCAGAAAATAAATGCTTCTGGTCTCATTACATAATCATGAAATAGCATGGAAATTTTTCCTTTCTAGATCAGCTGATGTGACTGGGAACCTACCACGCCAGCAATTCAAACATATCCCAAAGTGAAACTGGCTCCAGGAAAAACTCAAGGATAATTTTTCAGGACTTGGTGTCACGACATTTCCTTGACCTCTCTCTAGCACGGCAGCTGTGCCTCCTACAAGAGATATCAATAGTCCTCAGTCTCGATGAAGCTCCCTGTGGCTGCATTCTCCTTTACTTTATTCTTGGGACTTGTACTCACTTTTATGTTCATTTACTTCTTTATCGAAATTAGAACTGCCTTGTGGCAGCTGGTTCTGCTGTACTGCCCAGGTGGCAAAACTAATAAACTTCGAGTCATCCACTTCTGGACTTCCATCTGGTCTTGGGCATTTGAACATGCAGCACTCCAGGGCTCCCTGGGGCTGCCTAGTGCTAATCACCATTTCACAGATCACTTCTGTGTCTTTCAAAATGGAAATTCAAATCAACATTTTGTAGCAAAAATGCCCTGGATGGGAAGGCCAAATTCACAGTTTCTAATTTCTGCTTACCTCTAAGTAGTTCCGTAACTGTGGATATACAATTTGACATAGTTGGTCTTCAAATAAATTCTCTATAAAGTCTTTGGCATTTGAGTTAAACCAATGATTTTCAAACAAAAAAAAATAAGAACTTTTGTATCAAATCAAGTAATACATGGAATCTAACATATATAGAGATAATATTCCAAGTTCTCTGAATGAAGAAAAGTCCTGTAAGACCAATCAGGCAGCACAAACAGGGAACACACAATTTGCAAAACAGTAAATGATCTTAAATTTGCTTCCAGAGTATACACTTCTGATTTTATTCTCTCTCCTAAGAGTCTAGCACTTCTCACCCCATTTGTCTTTGTTTTTAAAATAAAATGAAAATCTAAAAACAAAAAAAGACACAGAGTATGCAATAGTAGTCATTTTCTTATAATATCTTTTCCTGAAATTGGGGAAATTTTTCCAGTAGTGAGGTCTTTCATTTTTTTTAAGTTCCCATTTTTTTGTAGAAAGCTTTTATTTAATTAATATAAATTTCATAGGTACATATTTTGGATTATATTAGTGCTTTACCCCATAACTGCCCTCCCACCTCCACTCCCGTACCACCTCCTTTCCCCTCTCCCATCCCATTCTTCATTAATTCATTTTTAATTATCTTTAAATACAGAAGATCAACTCTATACTAAGTAAAGATTTCAACAGTTTACACCCACACAGACACACAAAGTATAAATTACTGTTTCAAGACTAGTTTTACTGTTACAACTCATTAAGGGTAGAGGTCCTACATGGAAAGCAAGTGCACAGTGACTCCTGTTGTTGATTTAACAATTGTCACTCTTATTTATGGTGTCAGTGATCACCCAAGGCTCTTGTCATGAGCTGCCAAGGCTATGGAAGCCTTTTGAGTTCACAAACTCTGACCTTATTTAGACAATGCCATAATCAAAGTGGAAGTTCTTGCCTCCCTGCAGAGAAAATAGTGAGGTCTTTTCTATAAAAGAGGAGCTTCTTTGATCTAACAGTGGGTTATTTTATATTTTTCCTTTAAAATAAATCCTGATGAAAGTCACTCTCTAAGAGGCTCTGACACCAAGAATTCAGATTAACAAAGATAATTATTTACAAATAATTAATCACTAGAAGCTTGGTATTTCTGCTTCTCTGATTTCAAAGTCAATTGATAGCCAATAGACCCAGGCAAGAAAGGCCTACATGAAGTAGTGAGATGGCTGGCAGATCATAGGTTAACCTATAAAACCAAAAATGGTCAAGACAGTGACCAGGAATATGCAAGGGCTGGATTCTATGCTAGATATCAACCTGGATACCTCAGTTTTTAGACAATACCTTATTCTTTCTTTGTAATTGTTGATTTCTGTTTTTTTGATCCAGTCCCATTTAGTGAATTTGAATGAAAGATCAGAACTCATCTCTCAAATTCTTTCTAAATGGAATACTATGTAGTACTTAGTGGTAATTAATGGAAAAAAAAAAAAAACAGCCTCACAGAATCAGTAGGTTTCCACTGGGCAGAAGGGTTAAATAACATTTTAAGCCAGTTACCATCAAAAAACAAAGTGTGATTTGTCAGTGACTACTGAAAAGCAAAGTTAGGGGAAAAAATTCTATTTTTTTTAAAAAGCAACACGGCTAAACTTAGCAACTCAGTGTTTAAAGGGGGCATTACAAATCTAAAATTAATGTACTATTTACAAGGATGTATTTTAAGGAGAAGGGGGAGAAAGTCAACAGCTATGATGTGATTATACATGAAAAAAAATCAGAGGTTTCCTGGGCAATTAATGACAAATTTTCCACAAATTAAAAGAATGCAGGATGTGACTTTTAGGTTAATGACTACATACTGCATATTTATTCTAAATATTGCATTAGATCATTACTTTTATCCCTTAAACGTAGGCTCATTATTTCATCAAGTGCACACTATATAATTTACTCAGAATGTTGCCTTTACATGGTTTCCTCTAAACAAAAAAAGCCAACTTTGGTTTACTAATAATCATTCTGACAGCAAAATTAATGTTTTAGATCACGTAGTGGGTCTTGATAGCCTTTGTATCTTACCAGAAAACCAGTGGTGTGGTCAAAGTATATCTCAAAGGAACAGCCCTCTAAAAGCTTTAGGAAAAATATGCTCAACTGTTTCCCAAAGCAGCTCCATGTATCTGTCACCAAATGATGTGTTTCATGTCCACCAAATGAGGATCAAGCTACAATAACAGACTCTTCCACCTTCAAAAAGACAATCAAGTAAGAGAGCTAAAAATAAGAAAAACAAGACTAAACCTATGGCCCCAGTGCATCAGGACAGGTAATTTTTCCTCCTGCTCCCCTGGATATATTCTGGCCTCCACTAAGTTAAGCTAAATCCTATCCATTCAACCACGCACCTACTCATATCCACCCATTCTTCAAAATCTATTTCAACATCATTTTTTCATCATTTAAGCCACACTCTCAGTTACCCAAGAAAATATTTTCTTGTCCCTTAATGAATACAAACACTTCATTTACCTGACTCCTGCTGCATTTTCCTTATTCTATAATTAGAATTATAAGATGTCAAGACTAGAAGGACATATGTAATTACTTCCTAGATGTATTTGTGAATCACAAATACCTAGGGAATTCCTGGATCTCACCCCAGAATAACTGAGTCAGATTCTCCAGGGATGGAACCTGGGGAAAAAAGCATTTAGGCAGTGCACCATTAATTACACAGCAGGTTCAGGAGTCAAAGCCTTAAGAGAGCCTAGTAAATCCCTTAATATTACAGAGAAGAGAAATAAC